TTGGATTGGATGGGACTGAATGAAGAAATACTCGACCGTCCATTAACGGCTGAGGAACTTTTGGTTTTCCCAGAATTTGTGTGGTTTGTTAATTTATATAAACTGAAACCATGGATTATACCAAGCGAATCACTTATTTCAAATTTGAATCTTAATGAAATGACAAGTCAAAAGACCGGTAAAACTCAGAAAGATAAAAAAGATAAAACTGAGAGTAAAAAAAAAGATAAAGCCGAGGGTCAAACCAAAAGTGAACCTGAGGGTCAAACCAAAGGTGAAACTCAGGGTGAAACCAAAGGTAAACCTGAAGGTGAAACCAAAGGTAAACCTGAAGGTGAAACCAAAGGTAAACCTGAAGGTGAAACCAAAGGCGAAACTGAAGGTGAAACTGAAGGTGAAAAGAAAAGTCAAACTGAGATAGAACTAGAGTTATTCATGAAAAACTATTTATTTTTTCAATTTAGAGAGGATTTTACTTTAAATCAAGGCCTTTTCCAAGATCTCCAAATCTATTGTCTCTTGCTTAGAATGATAAATCGAAAAAAAATGATGCTATCATGGATTCTAAGGGAAAAGTTAAATTTGGGTCTAATGCCACAGATGGATCAGAAAGAGAGTGTTCCAGATTCAAAAAGAAATGTTCCAGATTCAAAAGAGAGTGTTCCAGATTCAAAAGAGAGTGTTCCAGAATTTTTAAAAAAGACGGGATTTTTGGTCGACCCCCTTCCGCTGTCTATCAAACCAAATGGAGAATTTCTTATGTATGAAACGATAGTTATTTCGTTGGTTCATAAGAGTAAACAAATTCTTAATAAAGAAGACGTAAAACAAAGAATAATTCGCGCTCGAGAGAACAATAATTGTGATCCGCTTCTTATTGAAAATATTTTATCATCTAGGCGTCGTAGAGAATTAAGAACTCTAATTTGTTTCAATTCACACAAATGGAATGGCGTGGATGCAAATTCTCTAGTTTCCAACAAAAATAAAGTTTGGGAAGAAAGCAACCCTGGGCCTAAGGATCAAAATAAATTAATTGAATTTTTTCTTTGGCCTAATTATCGATTGGAAGATTTAGCTTGTATGAATCGTTATTGGTTTTATACTAATAATGGGAGTCGTTTCAGTATGTTAAGGATCCATATGTATTTACCATTGAATTTAAATTGGTGGAAATTTAATTGATAGTAGTACTATCTACCCTGTAGCAGGGTAGATGGTAGCAGGTTAGATGAAAACCAATATGGACACATACCCTATTTTATACCTCATTTTAATTTGGATCTAACTGAATTGAGGATACCATATATCTATCTAGATCTATATAGATATATTGTACCTCATTAAAAGAATATTAAGTTGAAAAAATTCACTTTGATTTTATTAATGAACCCTAAAAGAAAGGGTTTTCTTTTGATTTGAATTGATAGACTTAGTTAGAAGAATTCCTTTTTAGCAATAAATGTCTTTCACATCCAGTGATAACCTGTAAATCATTTGAAATGGCAGTTCCAAAAAAACGTATTTCGAAAGCCAAAAAGCGTATTCGTAAGAACATTTGGAAAAGAAAGACTATTGAGGTAAGATTAAAAGCTCTTTCATTAGCAAAATCTCTTTTAACGGGTAAGTTTCAAAGTTTTTTTTACAAAAAAAATAAGAAAACATTGGACTCATTTCTGTCAAGTTGATTTATTCTATAATATAGAATAAAAGTAAATAATATTATCCTTTTTTTCTTTATTTTTTGTTCGTTCGTTTTAGTTACTAATCAATTATTTCATATCTATGAAATGAATCTAGAACTTAATTATAAAAAATTATTTTAAATGCATATTATATATCAATGAAGGGAGTTCATTTAGTTTATGATAAAAAACTTACAAAACAGAGGTTCCGTTGAATTTCAAGTATGGAATTTCACCAATAGAATACACCGGCTTACTTCCCACTTGAAATTGCACAAAAAAGACTATTTATCTCAAAAAGGTTTACGTAAAATTTTGGGGAAACGACAACGACTTTTAGCTTATTTATCAAAAAAAAATAAATTCCGCTATAAAGAATTAATTGATAAATTGGAGATTAGAGAGACAAAAACTCATTCATTTTGAAGTTGCATAGCTTTTCAAACCTATTATAGAGGTAAATTTAGAACAACAATATGGTTACTGAAACAATTAAAAAAGAATAGCTTGGGGTAGTGAATAGAAAGACATCATGTCCTTTTGTCTATTGATTCTTACTGTATAAATTTGAAGGGAGTATTTATTTAAAACTTTAAAACAATAGATTGAGTTAATTAAAAAAAGAATCCTTATTTACCCTATTAGGTAGTTTGTAGGTAGTTTGCGTAGTTATAAAAAAATGATAATATTAAAACATAAAATAATTTTTTTTTTATTTTCAAAACCAATCCAGAAATCTATTGATTAGAATCCTTCTGAGAATTCATTGAGTCATATAGTATCTAAAAACCAAGTATCTTATAATTTTATATTGGATAAAAATAATATTTGGAGGATACTATATCGATAATTCATAAAGTTTATAAATTTATTCGTCCAATGGCACATTCTGTAAAGATTTATGATACATGTATAGGATGTACTCAATGTGTCCGAGCCTGCCCCACCGATGTTTTAGAAATGATACCATGGGACGGATGTAAGGCTAAACAAATTGCTTCTGCTCCGAGAACAGAAGACTGTGTAGGCTGTAAAAGATGTGAATCCGCCTGCCCAACAGATTTCTTGAGTGTTCGAGTTTATTTATGGCATGAAACAACTCGCAGTATGGGTCTCGCTTATTGATCTGGTCCAGAAAAGTATATTTGAATTCATTCTATTTTTATTGAACACCCGTGCTCTCAAATAGGAAATATTTTTATTTGAGAGCACGGGTTTCACAAATTTTTAGCTTTCACGAAGTAAAAAATTAATGTCTTTTTTTATGTTCGCGAAAATGAACCATAAGTATGTAGACCTAATCCAATTAAATTGACTCCAAAATAACATATCCAAATAAGAAGAAAACCTATAGATGCCACAATTGCCGAAGTAGCACCTTCGAAAGTTCTATTTCTTCGAGTATGTAGATAAATTGAAAACACTATCCAAGTAATAAAAGCCCAAGTCTCTTTAGGATCCCCAAACTCCAATAAAGATCCCCACGCTTGGTTCGCCCACAAAGCCCCCGAAAGTATTCCTATGGTTAAAAAGATAAACCCTAAACTAATAACTCGATAACTCCAATAATCCAATTCTTTACTTAATTGAATCTTATAAAAATTTTTAGCCGAAAAAATATAATTCATTTTAAAAATATTTTCATTTTTTCTAAAGGTAATGACCATAAGTGCTACTGATAATAAGGAGCCACATATAAGAGCTGCGTAACCCACTATCATCATACTTACGTGCATTATTAACCACTCAGATTGAAGAGCGGGGACTAATATTGAAGATTTTTTAATTTCTGTGAAAAGACCCGAAGTAGCAAAAGCCTGGATACAAAAATTGATTGGGCTTATTATTGTACTTAATAATTTTGTATTTTTTTTTTAAATAGGAAAGGCTATTAATAAGAGCAAAACTCCAGGAAAGAAAAAGCAAAGATTCCGATAAATCACTTAGTGGGAAATGGCCCGACGAAATCCAATGAGTAGCTAATAATCCTGTTATACATAAAAAAGTTATGAAAATGCACTTTTCTGATGAATTAGAAAGTTTTATGTTTTCATCTACAAAAAAGATTTTCAAATAAATTTTAATTAAAATAGAAACGAGTATTATTGAAAGTGAAATATTAGTTAGTATATGTTCTAAGGTTGAAACTATCATAAAAATAAAAAAAAAATAAGATTTTAACTCCGAATTAGATAAGAAAAAAATGAAAAAGAACAAAAGATTACTCTTATTTTTTATGCCGCTACTCGGACTCGAACCGAGATGCGCTAGCACTGCTTCCTAAGAGCAGCGTGTCTACCAATTTCACCATAGCGGCATGTTATTTACTTTCACTCATATATTTCACCCATTTATAGAATTTATCGAAACGATAATTCGAGTGATGGGCGAACGACGGGAATTGAACCCGCGCATAGTGGATTCACAATCCACCGCCTTAATCCACTTGGCTACATCCGCCCCCGACTAAACTATGTTATTTTCAAAAGGAATCAATAAAGGAGCAATAACCGATTTCTTGTTCTAGACAAGAAGGCGGAATTGCTCCTTTATTCTATTTTAAATAGATTCTCTATCTATATACTAAGAGACGAAGTCTCTAGCCATTTGTAGCTATAACTTGGATAGCAGCTAGGTCTAGAGGGAAATTGTGAGCATTACGTTCATGCATAACTTCCATACCAAGGTTAGCACGATTAATTATATCAGCCCAAGTATTAATTACCCGGCCCTGGCTATCAACTACGGATTGATTAAAATTGAAACCATTTAGATTGAATGCCATAGTGCTGATACCTAAAGCAGTGAACCAAATACCTACTACAGGCCAAGCAGCTAAAAAGAAGTGTAATGAACGAGAATTATTGAAACTAGCATATTGGAAAATTAATCGTCCAAAATAACCATGAGCGGCTACTATATTATACGTTTCTTCCTCTTGGCCGAATCGGTAACCTTCATTAGCCGATTCATTTTCTGTGGTTTCCCTGATCAAACTAGAAGTTACCAAGGAACCATGCATAGCACTGAATAGGGAACCGCCAAATACACCAGCTACGCCTAACATATGAAATGGGTGCATAAGAATATTGTGCTCAGCCTGAAATACAATCATGAAATTGAAAGTCCCAGAGATTCCTAGGGGCATACCATCAGAAAAACTTCCCTGACCAATTGGATAGATTAAGAAAACTGCGGTAGCAGCTGCAACCGGAGCGGAGTATGCAACCGCAATCCAAGGGCGCATACCCAGACGAAAACTAAGTTCCCACTCACGCCCCATATAAGAAGCTACACCAAGTAAGAAGTGTAGAACAATTAGTTCATAAGGACCCCCATTATATAACCATTCATCAATGGATGCCGCTTCCCATATTGGGTAAAAATGTAATCCTATAGCTGCAGAAGTTGGAATAATGGCACCTGAAATAATATTGTTTCCGTAAAGCAGAGATCCAGAAACAGGTTCACGAATACCATCAATATCTACTGGTGGAGCAGCAATGAAGGCAATAATAAATACAGAAGTTGCGGTCAATAAAGTCGGGATCATCAAAACACCAAACCATCCAATGTAAAGACGATTTTCAGTGCTAGTTATCCAATTACAGAAACGACCCCATAAGCTTTGGGTTTCGCGTCTCTCTAAAACTGCAGTCATGATCAATTCTTGGTTGATTTTATAATCAGGGACTCCCAAGCACACGAAATAAAAAAAAATAGAATAAATTAAAGGCTTGTTATTCAACAGTATAACACGACTTAGATATTCGTGTCAACCAATAGAGCTATCTAATTTGATTCCGCCCCCTTTTTTTAAGTCAAGCAAATTTTCTCCATTTAATTTAAGTATGACGATTTGGTACTCATAATTACAATCTGGAACTTGTTAGTTCGAGTAAAGAATATATTTTTTTTTTTATATTTTTGTGAATAAGCGTTCCTATATATATATATAAATTATATATAAATTATCTGTAGTCAATTTTAAAAAAGTTAAAACTAAGCTTACCCTTTAATTAGACTTTTTAAGAAAGATTTACGATCAAATGGAAAAATAAAACTTTTTGCCTCTATTAATAATTTTATAATTTGGTAAAAATTTGAATTTGACAAGATGCATGAATTTTTAAAAATTAATATGCTCTTCGATACAAACAATATCAAAATACCAAATCCGCCTTTTATAAACTCGCCTCAAATTTGAAGAAGCCTTTGAAAACGTGAAATTAAAAATTTGTTCTTCCGATGTAAAAAATTCTTCTAAAAATTCCGAGCCCAAGCTTTTTAAAAAATCGCGTACAGTACTTTTGTGTTTCCGAGCTAGAGTTCGAGCACAAGAAAGCCTAAGTATATACTTTATTTGATACAAACTGGTTTTTTTGGAAGAACCACTATAATAATGAATAAAATTTCGACATATCCGCCCAAACCTTTTAATAATCTCAGAATCTGAGAAGTCGGTCCAACCCGGTTTACTAATGGGATTCCCAAGTACATTACAAAATTTAGCTTTAGCTAGGGATCTAAGGATAGGAATAATTGGAACAACAGTATCAAATTGATGAATAGCATTTTTTATTAAAAATGAATTCTTTAACATTTGACTTCGTATTATTGAAGGGATTACTACAATACTTGAAAGATAATCCATAAATGAAAAAGAATGGATGGATAATTGATTTCTATTTATTCTTCCAGTATGGAACCAAAGAGAAAAATAAGATTCCCAAAATTTTACAATATAATAGTTCCATTTTGATATCAAAAGAAACGTTTCTTTTGATGCCATAATTGACTTTCCCCTATACCTACCATAATGCATTGAAAGATCCGGAGCCTTTAACAAACGGATACTTGCAGAAAAATCCTCATTAAATACTTCTAAAAGGCATTCGATTTTTCCATAGAAAAGATTCCTTTCCAAAAGTGCTCGAAAACTGATTGCTTTTAAATGAAGAGACTGGTTGCGGAGAAAGACAAAAACGGATTCATATTCATATAAATAAGAGTTATATAAAAAGAAGAAAAGCCGCTCAGGTCTTTTTGTCAAAATGTAATGGGACCTATTGGGAGTATTCAAATTTTGAAAATTGTAAAACTCATATAGAAAGAAGCGTAATAAATGTAAAGAAGAAGCCTCTTTGACCCAATACCGAATTATTTGAACCACGATTTCCAGATGAGGGGGGGAGGGAATTAGTAGATCTAATACCAAATTTAAATGTGATAAATTGTCTTCAAAAAATGGAAATATGGAATGAATTGACCGTAAACGTAAATTATTAGATTTTAAGAGTTTTTTTTTTTGCGCTCTGATATGAATCTTAAATAAGACGGAATTTCCAAAATAAAAGCAAAAACCTCAGCTAACTGGTTACAATAGAACAACTTGCTGGTTCTAAAAATTTGACTTTTTTTATAATAACAATTAGTGAGCTGTATCTGTTGATACATTTGAGTAATTAAGCGTTTCACAATTTGAAAACTAAATTTTTTTTTATATACTATATTTTCAGCAGAAATTGACCCTTTTAAACCACTTAAAGCACGATCATGAACAAGGACATAAATATACTCCTGAAATAAAAGTGGATAAAGGAAATTCTGTTCTTTCGATCTCTCTAGTTGTAAATCTATTTTAAGTTCCTCCTTTTTTTATACAAAAAAACCATAACTATAACTATATAAACTATATACATCAAAATCTCTTTCTATTACAAAATAGCATTATTTAGATCATATGGAACAAATTCACTGCTATAAAGCCAATAACCTATTATTTTATTTATAAAAAAAAATGGTGGATGTAACAAGATAACGGATCTTGGTTTTCATCTTTTAAAGTGACATGTTGATTTATACCACATCGTTGCAAACCACGTTGGACCATAATATTCTTTCCTTAGAATTTGGAACCAATATGTACTTGATTAAATCAGGGAATCTTTAATAGTCATAGGTTCTAGTATTGGTTTGAGTTGTCTCTAAACATACTATCCTTTTAGGTTTTCTATATATTTTATTTAGGTAGATAGATTATTTTCTCTCTATTATTTCTATCTCAATAGACTATTTCTATTCGATAGAAATAATAAGATCAAAAAGATTTGGGACGGAAGGATTCGAACCTCCGAATTCCGGGACCAAAACCCGTTGCCTTACCACTTGGCCACGCCCCACTTCAACACTTCAAAAATTAAATAACCATTTTATTTTTGTCTATTGAATTTAAATGGATATCAATTTGATTCTATGGTTCTGGTTTTTTTTATGTGTTAATTTATTTCTTTTGTATATTATTATATTGTCTATATTCTATTATAGTGTATTATAAATATTGAAATATTTCTAGTCATTGTGAAGGGTTCAATTAAAAAGAGGAATCAATATTTTGCGCCCGCCCCTACGAATTCAATATAATGTTTTTATATTAATTTTATAAAAATCATATCTTAATAATTCATTATCAAAAAAACATGTCTTTTATGCTTAGTTTTATCTGTCTTAATTCTGTCTTCTATTCAAGTAGTTTTTTATTCGGCAAATTGCCCGAATCTTATGCTTTTTTGAATCCAATCGTCGATTTATGCCAATAATACCTGTTCTTTTTTTTTCTTTTAGCTTTTGTTTGGCAGGCTGTTGTTAGTTTTCGATGAAATACTTAATTAAACAAATTGAGTAAAATAAGAATAAGAACTTCCTTGCTTTTTAAAGCTTTTTTTTATAGTAAAAGACTCTACTAGGATTAGGACCATTCCCCATATTTAATTTGGTAAACTCTTATTTCAATTTGATTTATGAAATTTTTTTCTTTAGAAAATTAACTCTATTTCAACTTTCTTTCTTGGTACCTTATAGTACCTATGTGGTCTCAAAATAGAAAATATATTCTATTTATTTTTTTTTCAATAAAAAATATTGGAGGTTTGTAATGCTTACTCTCAAACTCTTCGTATACACAGTAGTCATCTTTTTTGTTTCTCTATTTATCTTTGGGTTCCTATCTAATGATCCAAGGCGTAATCCTGGACGTGAAGAATAAAATAAAACGAATTTGCAAATAAAAAAAAAAAAAAAAAGAAATAATACGATCCACAAAAATGGAAAGAGAGGGATTCGAACCCTCGGTACGAAAAACTCGTACACCGGATTAGCAATCCGACGCTTTCGTCCACTCAGCCATCTCTCCCAAATTTTATTTAGAGAATTCTTATTTTATAATAAACATAGAACTAAGTAATTTTTTTTATTTTGATTATGCTTTTCAATCTATTATTTAAATATTTTTATTATATTATTTTATAAAAATCTAAATTAAGAGTTATAAGATGTTTTGTTTTGATTTTTTACTCAATTATTTAAATGTTGA